AATAAAAATAAAACCATTGCTGCACACGTGAAGTTTTCCAAAGAACATCTGGCTCACAACACTACTAAAAGAATCTTTTGTGGACAGATGAATCTCACTAGAGGCTGTGTTATGCAACAGGACAATTAGCCGAGTAACAGAAGTACTGAAGTAACCTTAGAATGGCTCCATAAAAAGAAAACCCATCTTTTGGAGTGATCTAGTCACTTCAGCGCAGTAGAACTGCAGTACACTAAACAAAGACTGTGGATTTTTTTCCCACATCACTTACATAGGAAGCACATTGTGAGGGGATCACTGCAGCTTGTATGAACAGGAGGAATGATTACAGCAAACAAAACCCGTTTCAATGTACATACTGACAGGTGAGACAGAATTGAAAAAATTGTGAACTTATCCTTTAATCCAACCTCATTGGACTGGATGCCTGAGGTTCTTACAACTTGGCAGATTTTGAACTTTAGTCAATCCCTTAACATCAAAGTTATAATCAAGTTAATGAAAACAAGCTCTGCAGACCAACAGTCCCCGAGAGCCAAGTTGTAAACTGCTGACGGCTGGCTCATGCAGTCAATTACTGGCTCACTCAAGATTGAGTGGGAGATTACTGAATTGAAGCTTGCTTACTTTGTTTCATGGATATTCAGTCATCACCTTGAAAACCAACCACGGGATCACCAAATCAGGATAGATAGATAAACCAGATAGATGTTATTTCTATGGGTTGCTTCTTTATTTGATACAGGAAGACACACAATTACACAATTACAATGCCAATACAAAAATATGGAAATCTGTTGTATAAAAAAACCTTTCAGCCTATCCCCTCAGGGTTTTTTACATATACATCACACACACTTACAGTATACACTCTGCAAATACATTTCAAAGCTGCCAAATAGTGGCTCATTCCTAGCAGGTGCTACATATCATAGGGAAGTGAACAGTATCATAGTAGTGGCTCATATAAATGAATGTTGCTATAATGACTATAACATTGAGGATATAGTAGTGAACTGTGTTCATTTACATTCTCTGTCAGCAACAGGAAATACCAGAAACATAATCCAGCTGGTTACAGATGATATATGATGCCTGACAGGGAGGTGAAACTGATGATCTCCTCTCTTCCAGTCTCTTGTTTCTTTCCTTTTAGTGGTCTACAAAGACAAAAGTTTCATGATGAATTTAAACACTCAGTTCCTCTGTAAGACATTAAAGTCATTGTGAGAGTATGTTCTGCTTACCTCATTTTACTTTGCCATATCGACTCTGTACATCATGTCCTGGACCCAGCTTTCTTGTGGATTGGCACAGACAGTCCGCTGTTTTTTATGTGAAGGCTTCTTCTTCATCAAAAACCTACACATGAGTATTATTACTTAATGTTATCACCCTTTTGCACTGGAGTAAGGAATGTAAAGGAGTGTTTTATGAGTAATCAAAGACACCAGTGCACACATTTAAAAGTGCTGCTCTAAGCTTGGATCAATCACTGTCTTAATAAGCAGCTTCTTTTTCCATTAGTTGTTGCCAATTTATTTACACGGCAAGTTTCAACAATGTAGGACATCAAAATGCAGTAAAGACATAATTTTTGTTACTTACACAACAGCTCTCATGTTGCAATCACCATCTGTTTCCTGTATCCTGTAACTTTGAATGTTTCGCTTCACATTTTCTTTCATTCCTCGAACGTAGCCGAGGCAGCAGTTGCCATAAGAGCCTGGAGAGAGGGATAGATTTACAGAGGGTTAGAGCAAAAAAACTGCCCCTCCTGAAAATGTCTTCCCTGGGGAGAAATTAAATAGTGAGAGTCCAGAAGAAAAACAATACAGCTCCGTTTTAACACTGGGGACTCACTCTTTATTGTGCTTCTTGTATGTGTAGGTCTGTGTTTATTGGCATGCCTATAAACTAAAACTAAACTAAAGCTTATGAATAAACAGTGCCAAAGCAATTTATTGCAAATCATTTGTCTTGATATTATAAAATATTTGTAATTTGTAGACTAATATTAACAGGAAAAACTAAATCATGGGTCTCACAAATTACTTTAATCACATGTCACAAAATTGTTATTTTTTAATTAAAGAAAACCACAAAAAGCAGGAGTGATTTGTATGATTTGAAATAACTAGAGCTAAACCAACAGCATCTGGTAATTCTCATTTTCCAATTCCACTGGATTGAGTGCTCAACATTAACAAATATAGTAATTTATTTTGCTCTTTTCTTACTCTTTGAATTGATAACACACACATACACACACACACACACACACTGAAACACACAAATATCCTGACTGCACCTTTTTTTGACCATCACTGCCTCCATTAGAGTCACTGTTTGTGTTTCTGTTTGGTCAAAATAAGGTAATATAATTATCAAGATATCATACTGATAGTTCAAGATAGTTGAACTGTATTTGGCAGAGGTGTCCTTTTTCTTAAGTTATCTTACTATCAGGACTATAAATAATGAGGTCATGTCCTTTTAACTTTTGTGTAGGTGTTTACTTACTTGAAATTGGGTTATAGAGTTTGTAATGTGTCAACTGTCATCTGTGGTAACAGAACATATTTCTGTAACATACCCTTATTGGCTTTTTTGACATCAACATACAGTACTATTTTATCTTAATTTTTATTTTATTTTTTAACTTTTCTTTTCGAAATAGCCAATAATTAAGTTTTTCATGCTGAGCCCTAAACAGAATGGTTAATCATCTCTAAACTTCTTGCAACAAATAGGACGAATTGTCACACTGCATGTGACCTCCTTACCTCCAATGCTCCTAGTTAAGTTACTTCAGCTTTTTAAAGACCCCAAATTGTTTGGGGCTAGGCTTAAGCCCTGAATGTTTGGTTGTAATGACGCTGCTGAAAAGCTACTGAGCTATAAGGTGCAGTGATGACCCAAAAACTACAAGTCAGCTTTAGGAATTTTGTACGCACAGCAGCTTGGACTATCTTTATTGCTCAAATTCAATTGATATATCATCTCATATCAGCATTATAGTGGTGGGGTATTGATGTATCAATAAAGAAGAAGAAGACGTTTTTGCTCCAATGTCCACAACCCGAAATGTCCTGTTTATGAAAATCTGCTATTTTGCTTAACTTAATTAAACCTGTCACAAAATTACCACAACAAAGTGGTCTATAATAGCTAGCCTAGACAGATTACACTTTGGTATCAAGTGATGTGGTAAATGGCTTTGAGCAGAACAATTCACTAATTAAAAGGGAGGATTTAGGAAAGTGGAGGAATGTGGATTGTGAAATACAGCTGCAGCCATAATTTCACCAAAGTTGTTCAAAGCAAGACTCCACATATTCTCCACAGTCAGTTCAGTTCAGTTCAGTTCCACCAAAACTTAGTTCATATTGATTTTTTGGTTTTAGCTCATTATTTAAAATGCTCAAACAGTACCTACACTATTTTGAGCTACAATAATTACTAATAAATTGAAATGTGCAATCCAATCACAATTTGCAATATGACAGTTCTGATGTCAGTCAAATCTGTTCTGTTGCACTCACCTTGTGCGAGACTCAGGCACATGCAGCTGAAAAGCAAAATGAAGAAAATAGCTTGGAACTTCATGACTGTTGCTGCTGCTGCTGCTGCTGCTGCTGCTGTTCTTGTTGTGTGGCTCACTGCACAGAAACAAACAGATCAAATCAAACAGGAGAGAAAAAACTTGGAAGCAGTCTCACCCCTCTGCCTTGTAAATTTTGGCTGTTGATGTAATATTTTCCATCACAAATCCCTCCATCTGTGGTCTTGTGAACGAAAAAGGTCATGTCTTTGACCCTTAATAAAACATTTTTAAATCCATGTTTGGTTTCCAGCTGTGTGCAGCTGTTTCATCTCTGAGTTATAAGTGTTGTTTTACAGAAATCAACTGGGTTTGTGGTAAATTATGGCTGTTTTCCCCATCTGACACCTAATAAAATGCAATTCTTGCAAAACCAGGATTACAAAAGCA